GGAAAGAGTTGCGACTGTTGCCCGATCAAGTTATCGTGCTAATTGGCATGTCAAATAGAGGTGCAGTGTCAAAGTGGAGTAAATGTCCATCTTGTGGTGTGGATGCCCAACATATGAGGAACAATCTTTTGGACTTCGCAAGAGAGTGGTCTTCTACCCCTTTTGCTAAATTGTTTATAAATTTTTTTGTTATCTAATCTATTTTTTTGCTCGAGTAATTTTAGTGTACCCGAAGGACTTAACAACTTTGCGGAGAACATAGAAACTTTTGCCTCATTTAATTGGTCGATTGCGCTCTGTAATTTTCTTATAGAGCAAATTAATGCAGTGGCCATCAAATTATTGCAGAATAAGCCTATTGGATACATACATGGTTTTTTTTTTTTATTTGCTTACGGTCAGTATATTGTAGAACATGAACATCATTACTATTTATTAATTATTTTTTATGCTGAATATTGTGTATCTTTTATGCAGCATTGGATATTCTTTTTGGCCGCATCTTTGTGGGATCATCACATTTCGCTCTTTACTCGGTGTCTTCTTCTTCTTTGATTTTGACTTTTCCAGATGGTCTCGTCCACTCATAATGGCTTCGACATCGATTTTAAGTTTATTAAATGCCTCCAACACTAGCTTCTCGGCAAGTTCATGGCCTCGTGTTCTGGTGTCGATCTGGTATGCAAATTTATGAATGTGATTGAGATAGATCAGTCCACTTGCAGAATTTGACAACATTTCTGACACCTTATGATTTGCATAACCATAACTGTTATATATGTCCCTTTTAACATTAATAGTCCACTGAAGTAATGTATATTTATCAGGGATTTTTGTAATATTTTTGTGCTGAAGAACCCTTAGAGCGAGAGCACATAATAAGCCCATCATTTCAAATTTTTTACAACTACAGGTAATATCAGAATTACCTCTGTCCAATTTAACAATCTAGGGTCTGGCTCTGTCTTTATTATCGAGAGTTCGAATATGAAATTCTGAATCCATAGTAGTGGAGCACTCCACAGCAAGCCCACACAAACCATGTAGAAACTGTGCTTCAAACATTGAATATAACTTCCTTGTGTAAAGTGTAGCAACTTGTCTCAACTTGACTGTTTTTAACGGTGGGAGAAATTGCAGACTGTTGGCATTTAAATTCTTCATCCTTTTCATTTCTTCTCCAATCCTTGATGACATTTTCAAGACCCAAAAAACATTCGGTCAGGGTACTTGTTGCCTTGGAGAAATCATGGAAAATCTTATTCGTGGACTCACTTCTTTGCATTGATAGGATCCTCATTCCAAAAATTTCTTTGTTGAAGGCAGTTGACCACTTATGTCTGATATTATACAATTCATCCAACCAAATATTCTCGTGTAGGTTTCCTTTCTCGATCATTTCACCCCAAGTTTCTTCAAATTTTTCTTAAGGGTCACATCTGCTCAAGCATTTATAAAAAAGATCATTGACTCTCTTTCTACCCACGCCACAATGGACTTTTGAAAATAACTTCTTATAAATGTGCCATTAACATAATCTATGTCTGGTTTGCAGAAGACACTCTTCAATGGCTTTAGACATTGCTTGGTCCTGGTCAGTTAATATTGTTATTGGATGCTTGTTATTCATTATACGGATAAAAGCTTTGAATAACCACTTGAATGATTTAATCATTTCATCTGACAAAAAACCAACATCAAATAAAACATTCTGTCAGTGGTGATTCACACCGACAATCGGAGCACAACATAAATTGTATTTATTCAGTCTATAACTTGTATCAAATATTATTACATCCCCAAAAAAATTGTAATCAATCTTGGACATCCTATCGCACCATAAAAAAATTCACCAAACATCCCGCCTCATCAACTTGGAAGTCTCACACAAACATTGGATCCTCTGCTTGTCGAGTAGTGAACAATTGTATGAGAGAATTAGCATCCCCAGATGTATGAGAGAATTAGCATCCCCTAATTCAATTTGAACTCTTCTCTCTCTTTGTATGAAATTATATGCATTCCTCTTTGTACAATCAAGATTCTCCACTCCTCCAACCTCAATAGCAAGGAATTTGAATGCACCACTGGTTCTAATCCCTGATTTTGTCATTGATCTAAGGATATTAGCACTGAAGTCACATATCTTTCTACCGGAACGCAGTAGATGCTTGTCACCGTCCTCTGCCAACGAATGGTTGTGACTTTCTATGAATTTATTTACCGACCAGTTGCCCTCTAAATCAATGAAGTATCAAATCATGGCTGGACAACCAGTCCTTGTGTCCGCTCTTTTGAACCTCACCGTGATAATATCCTTCAACTCTTTCTTGAAACCAGCCTTATCAAAAGCAAAGTCCTTTGTCTTAAGCTTCTTTGAATTTGGCCAGAAACCACTGTGTTCCTTTCGCACAGTAAATCCAATATGGTGTGCATATAAACAATACTGTTTATAGGCTTCCTTCTCGTTGTGGACCACTGCATGAAGTAATTTCTCTGCCTCGGGTGACCGCAAATTTAAACATCATTAATATAAGGTTACAATACATAAATAACACGATAATAATACCATAATATAACCCAAATAACACCATGGCAATGCCAATATAACATGTCGAATAAATGCGGTTAAGAAATGTTACTAGCCTCATAAAAGAAAACCAAGTCAAAAGATCCAATATTACCTTAATAAAACTGTGATACTACCAAAATAACACCAAATCCCCACAACAGTAACGTTACATTGTGATACTACCAAAATAACACTGTGATACTACCAAAATAGCATCAAATTCTCACGACAGTAACATTACATTATGATACTATCAAAATAACATTGTGATACTACCAAAATAACACTGTCACCAAACCCCCACTACAAACCCCCACTAATACTATAACGAACAATCAGAAATGGAAAACAACTGCAAAAACAACCAGTGTATCACCGTGATATTACCTAAATAACACCACATCCCACCCTTACAGAAACTTAGTGTTACACGTCATCTAAAAACAGAGCAAACTTCATTAACAATAAAATTATTCCTTAAAACCTAGAACTGCATTCAAACAAGTCCTCAACGTACCTGCCGATGTCCTTCCGCCGCATCTAAACTTTACTCATTCTCATTATTCTAAAAAATATTCTAAGATTCCAGCTCATTCTTATGTTTCTCGCAAGCATTTTGAGATTCCAGTAATATTTCTTCGTAAAAAAATATTTCCATCGAACCAGGTCCAGCGAATACAAGGCAACGAAATGAGAATATCCTGAATCTCTAAACCCTAAAGGAGACAAAATATCACTTTTTTTCAATTGGTGGGAATTAAAAATGACAAAAATATGTTTTTTAGGGGGGGATTCAGGCCGGGTAGGGCATAATATGACAAAGTTGTTAAGGTGAAAAATCCACGTGGTATAGAATTCCACGCGGTTGTTTTTAATTCGGTACCGCATGCAGGTCTTCATGCGGTACACGTACCGAATAAAAATTCCAGCACTAGGGGTTCATCTTTGCGTCAGGAACCCTATCATAGCTCCTCTAGACCCTAAACCTGTTACTCAGCCCTAAGAAGGCCAATGGCCCATGAAGCCACGTAGGCTAGCTGCCTCACGATCCTTGCAATAGGTAGGCAGGTGCCCTTTAGCAGGAAAATATTTGCGTACATAAGACGTACGCAACAATGCATACGTCCAACGGTTATTCAGGGGTACAGAGGGTTACAGAGGGTTACAGAGGGTATCTGTAACCCCCTGTAACCTCTCTGTAAACTACCTGTAATCTACAAATGAGTTTCGCCTCTGTAATTTAATGAATACAAATAAATTACAGAGATGTTAGAGGGAGTTACAGAGTTACAGGAAGGTTAGGATATAACCGATCAATAACCCTTTACCCCTCAATAACCCTTTACCCCTCAATAACCCCTTAGGTCCTAGTTTATCTACCCAAATACTTTCCCCTTTGGCGGGGAAGAGGCGACAGTGCCGCTAGTGCTCTTAAGGGAACGAGCCGGAAACGATGGCGGCTGCTTTGCGTGGAGCATCCTTCTATAGCAGTGCTCGATGTCGGGGCTTTATCATTAGCAGCTTGAACTCTTGCATTCTACCCTTCCAACTCATATCGTTCCGCGGGATCGCCTCCAAGCTATTCGTCGGTGGTATGTTTACTGTTACTTCTCAACGAAAAGCAAATTTCGGTTTGTCTAGGCTTGCTTTTTCCGGTTGGGGGCAATGGTTCTCAACTCTTCTTGGTGACTATTTACGAATCCGAAGTTGGGATCTCTTTCTTTTATTTTTTTTACAGCAAGTATTGAAGATGGTGAAGATATCGTTAACCTGATTAACAACTTTTAGCTGGTCACAACTACCAATCTTTTGACTTAATCAATATTATATGGTCTTCGTTAAGACTAGAAATTGGCATGCAAAAGTTTTAAATTTAAATTTTTAGACAAATACCGAATCAATATTTTTGGAGTTAGGAAAATTTAACAATTGTCATGCAAATTAAATTTCAGTTTAAATCATCTCAAGCTTTACTAAACATACATTTACAAAGATTACTAAATCCTACTTGTTACCAAACAATCCCTAGGAATTGTGAAGATAGCTTTTCCTAGTTTTAGTGACCTAATTCTGCGAAACACGAATTTGTGCCTTGGTAGTTCAGTCAAAATTTTAGATATACTTAGATTAGCCATTAACCTATGTTAACTCTTTCTTTGACACAGACCTTAGGTTATCTTTCTTGGACTCAGACATTGGGTTAATACCTCTTCTCTGTCCTTACATCCTGTAAGGGATCTCTATAGGAGTGGTATATATATATATATATATATATATATAATAAAAAGAACCGGTTCACCCCAAATACCGTTTCCTCTTTGCACTCGAGCACCTATGATTGGGTGCCTGCGCTATGTGCCTAATATTTCAGAGCCCCCGCGCCACGATGGGATCGAACCCTTTACCTGAGGTGACTTACAGTGACCCCGCCACCAACATGCCAAGGCTTGCGGCGCATGTGCGCGCGCGCACACATACACACACATATAGGCTTGAGGCACACACACATATATATATAGACACACACACATCCCATCCTCTCTTGGACTCAGCCGTTGGGTTAATACCTCTATCACCATCTTGTAAGGGATATATATATATATATATATATATATATAGTAATGATTGGCTAGAGGTTATTATACGAGCCTCCCAACCAATCTCATGTGACTAAAAATTCTATCCCACACATAAACGAGATCGAACCGTGACCCTAGGGGTCTCACAAACTCTGCCAATCAAGGAGTGATATATATAGACGAGATCGAACTGTGACCCGGGGGTCTTATTGCCCTTGTGTGGTTTTTAAAAAAATAATAGAGATGGGTATAATCCTAAAGAATGGTTTATGAGAGGTGGTGTTAAGGGTTAATTTGACGGAGGTTCGTCAAGGATGTGAGAGAAGCACAAGCAAAATGACAATTTTTTGGGTTTAAAAATTTGCTATGGGAAATATAGGAAACTTGAGGCTTTGTAAACACTTGGATTAGTTAAAGGTATATGCCTACTTTAATTCAGGAGTATTTCATAATTATTCAAGGGTTTATGTCAGCTAAATGGAGTTTAGAACAAGACTAGATCTTGTTTAGTCAAGTGTTGGCTGAGAGATCCTTATGAGCGTTTAATGCTGATTTATGGTGGAATTGGATTAAAAATTGGCGTGGATGTGTGAAGCAGAGATTGTAGAAAGCTCTATAGCAAAAGATGAAATTGGTTTATAGAAACTTTAGGAACTTGCTGCTCGCAAAAGTGTTAAGGTTAATACATGTGGGCAGCTACCAAGCTTCTTTTGGAATATAACCCCTACAATTCTGTATAAACTAATATTAAGTACTTCATTCCATGAAATAAGTATTGAACTAAGTTTACAATTATTTAAAATTTGGTAAAAGAGAGGGGGAATTAAGGGTGGGCTGGCAAAGTGTGTGGTTATGGAGGTGTCATCCATTGTATAATTAACTCTCCATATAAGTGGTGGCCAGCTAAGCTTGAGCGTAAATTGATTTTTTTGCTTAATTTTACTTCTAATAATTGATTCCCAGTTAAAATTAAATTGTATCCCCTTGAAATTGAAATTCAACTTTTAAAACTAAAAAAATTAAAATTTGAAAAATTTGAAATTTAAATTTTTAAAATTTATAAATGTTAAGAAAAGAAAACTACAATTACCTTGTCTTATAAAACAATTATCGTATCTAAGAATGTAAATTCTAAGTAAAGTTCTTCATCAGTGTTGGATAGAAATAGCTTTTTTTATTCTTTTAGCTCTGATGGTTGTTTCAAGTTTTTCCTCCATTGGCTCATCGTGCCACATCGAATCCTACGGGCCTAAATATAGCCTTTCTATGAAGATTTAAAGTTAATATATCTCTCAATTTTCTCTAGTGTAATGCTTTCCAAGCCATCCTTAATAAACAAAGTATTCTCTGCTGGTGATTATTCTTGAAACTCAGATGAAATCTATGATCTCCATCCTATTTTTTAGTACCTTTTTTGTAATCATATGGTTGACCTCAAAGCAAAAAAAATTAAGTAGGCATTTAAAAATATTAGTTTTTTTCCTCTTGTCAAAGATTCATTCTTCACATGTATAAATTTACCAACTCTATATGATATTGAATTTTCTACATTAAAATCAAGATTGATAAACATGTCACTTGGTAATTCAAGAATATTTATATTAGTTCCAATATTCTTAATGTTATTAGATGGCCCACGTGCTCTAGCTTGTATTTTTAAAATTTGATGGAGTCATATCTCTTAGGCCGGGTTTTATTCAACATATCTTTTTAAATATTATATTCTTTGAATGTTTTATTTTAGTTTTTTTGTTTCAACATATTTTTTGTCACTACTTCTAATTATTGCTTTATATTATTATGAATGCTTTAACAATTTTGTGCAAAAATCAATGTTGAATTTGAGAATCATGAATAGGTATGCTAGCAAGATTAAATGGTTGTTTTGGATTGCATCAATGGGTTATTTTTAATGGAATTTTAATTGTGATTCTTGAAATAGTGTTGTTATATACAAATCATGTTGTAGCAAAGTGTAAATCCCAGATACCAAAGCTTTTACCCATCAAAGATCCTAATAATTTATTTCCTGCCTTTATCTGTCTATCAGCTTGAGTGTAATGTCAAGTGAATTTCAATGTTCTGCTATTATCTTCTACAATATTTTCGAAAAATATGATACAAATATGTCATCTCTATTCAAAATAATTATGAATAGTCATTGAAAACTGGCTATCTTCTTGAAGAATAAGCTTTTTATATAGGATGCCTTATTATATTTTAAGCAAACTAGAAAGTGGGATATGAAAGTTCATAGAAATGTGAAGTAAAATATTTTCCCAACTCTTACTTTCCAAAATATTCTGTAAGTCCTCCCATAATATAACTCCATTATGAAAACTGCCCCATAGATGTTTTAGGAATATATAATGTTTTTCTTTTTTATATGTATCCCTCAATCAACACATAAGAACTATCAAAAGATTCCTTTTTGGGCATGCCCTAAAAATATCAAATGTAAATTTGGACAAAGTTGATAATCATCTTTTATTTTTTCAAATCCTTGAATTTGAAACTCTAATAATGTTTTAAGGAAACTATGGAGGGTGCATCGATAGGTTTGTTTCTACCTTATATTTGTGTTTATGTATAAATTTAGAATTATTGTGGTATCTTACCCATCTAACTTGTTTGTAATTTAGTTTCCTTTGAATATTTACAAATTTTAATGTATTGTGTTATGTATTGAGAGGAAACTCTATGTAACAATTGATTTCTTAAATGCTTGAGAGATTAAATGATTGTTTAAAATTTAGTCATGTGTGGAGTATCTTTACCTTACATCATTCAAATTCACACTGTAATAGGCATTTGATGATTTTCTAGATTATTTCCCTTATACATACAACTGAAGTATATATGTAACCTCAAATACTATGCTAAAATATTGAGGTCTAAAAAGGGTAAAGTGGTCTTGAGAACTTTGATATGATATAGTTCATATAAAATTTTCCTTGATTTTAAATTTCATTATTAGGAGAAACATGACATAAAACTCCATAGAAATTATGACAAAGATAATATATTTTATTCCACCAATATCAAGTCTAAACAAAATCTCAATTACATAAAGATAAGGACACACACTTTGAGAGGTAGGCTATATCTGCCAAACCCTACAATTTGAGAGGTAGGAAGTCTTTCCCAAGCCCTAACCCTAAGATTTACAAACACAATCTCGTACATACCCCAAATCTTAAACATATTAGCCCTTTTATAACCCAACAATAATAACAAAATGCTAAATTGACCTTGGACACACAAAATTCTAAATTGTCCTCAGGTGGACAAAAGACTAAGTGCCCGTTTGGGGCAGTTTATTTGCTGCGGCGGAGTTTTCAAAACACAGACTACACTGTTTAGTTTCGACAGCACTACAACTTATCCAGAAAATTCGTTAAAAATTTCTAATAAACGCGGCTGCGGGTTTGACCTTGTGGCCCGCATTCTTCACTTATTTTTTACGAGACCGCCCTTTCGATCTCTCGTGCTTTGTCTGGCCTCATCCCGTGTCTTATTTAATAGCTCTTGCTTCTGCTATGCCTCAAGTGCCTCTTTTGATAGCTCTCGCGCTTTCCTCCCTCTCATGCGTATCTCTTGAGTGATGCTTTTCTCCTCTTTAATTCCTCCCTCTGATCTCTGGTTGTGGTGCTCTGTAAGTAATTTTTGTGGTGATTTTCGATGGAATGACTTTCTTTATGCGATTTTTGGCTTTTTCATCTGCATTTTGTTGTCAGAAGTTTGTGATACCTGTGCTTTGTGACTTCCTGATTTCTCATTGCAATTTTTTTTTTATTTTCGATTTGGACATTGGAAAAAAAAAGAAAAATGTGGCATGACCTTGGGCTATGGGTTGTTTTGGCTGTGTTGGGGATTTTGTGGGATAAAAGTTTCTTATTTTTGTGTGTTTGTTCTCTTTTATATGTTTCTTATGACTTTACCTGCACACAATTTTTTGTTGCTCCAAATTGATGAGTTGAGATAAAGGCTTCTTATTGTTGGATAAAAGCTTC